TAGATGAGGTGTACTTTCATGCCATCTTTAAGTTGGAGATACCAGTTGGCACTTTTAAAATATTGGCAGAGTTCTGTGAACTGTGTGCAATCAGATGTATTTGATTTAACGATGTAGTAGGTTGAAATGGGTCTGGTGGGGGGGGGGGGGGGGGGGGGTATTTTTGCTAATGGAGAGGAGGTTACGTGTAGTGTGGGTAATGTTGTGCGAGTGGGTGGGTAGGTTGTGTTGAGTGGGTTATGTGTGGTTAGGGTGAGTTGGTGTGTTGCAGGTGTGGATGAATTGGTGAGGTGCAGGTGAGTTGGTGTGGGTGGGTTGGTGAGGTGTGGGTGGGTTGGTGTGGGTGGGTGGGTTGGTGTGGGTGGGTTGGTGTGGGTGGGTGGGTTGGTGTGGTTGGGTTGGTGTGGGTGGGTGGGTTGGTGTGGGTGGGTTGGTGTGGGTGGGTGGGTTGGTGTGGTTGGGTTGGTGTGGGTGGGTTGGTGTGGGTGGGTGGGTTGGTGTGGTGTGGGTGGGTTGGTGTGGTGTGGGTGGGTTGGTGTGGTGTGGGTGGGTTGGTGTGGTGTGGGTGGGTTGGTGTGGTGTGGGTGGGTTGGTGTGGTGTGGGTGGGTTGGTGTGGTGCAGGTGGGTTGGTGTGGTGTGGGTGGGTTGGTGTGGTGTGGGTGGGTTGGTGTGGTGTGGGTGGGTTGGTGTGGTGCAGGTGGGTTGGTGTGGTGTGGGTGGGTTGGTGTGGTGTGGGTGGGTTGGTGTGGTGCAGGTGGGTTGGTGTGGTGTGGGTGGGTTGGTGTGGTGCAGGTGGGTTGGTGTGGTGCAGGTGGGTTGGTGTGGTGCAGGTGGGTTGGTGTGGTGCAGGTGGGTTGGTGTGGTGTGGGTGGGTTGGTGTGGTGCAGGTGGGTTGGTGTGGTGTGGGTGGGTGTGGTGTGGTGTGGGTGGGTTGGTGTGGTGCAGGTGGGTTGGTGTGGTGCAGGTGGGTTGGTGTGGTGTGGGTGGGTTGGTGTGGTGTGGGTGGGTTGGTGTGGTGCAGGTGGGTTGGTGTGGTGTGGGTGGGTTGGTGTGGTGCAGGTGGGTTGGTGTGGTGCAGGTGGGTTGGTGTGGTGCAGGTGGGTTGGTGTGGTGTGGGTGGGTTGGTGTGGTGCAGGTGGGTTGGTGTGGTGTGGGTGGGTTGGTGTGGTGTGGGTTGGTGTGGTGCAGGTGGGTTGGTGTGGTGTGGGTGGGTTGGTGTGGTGTGGGTGGGTTGGTGTGGTGTGGGTGGGTTGGTGGGTCGGTGTGGTGTGAGTGGGTTGGTGTGGTGTAGGTGGGTTGGTGTTGTGTAGGTGGGCTGGTGTGGTGTGGGTGGGTGGGTTGGTGTGGGTGGGTGTGGTGTGGGTTGGTGTGGTGTGGGTGGGTGGGTTGGTGTGGTGCAGGTGGGTTGGTGTGGTGCAGGTGGGTTGGTGTGGTGTGGGTGGGTTGGTGTGGCGTGGGTGGATTGGTGTGGGTGGGTTGGTGTGGTGTGGGTGGGTTGGTGTGGTGTGGGTGGGTTGGTGTGGTGCAGGTGGGTTGGTGTGGTGTGGGTGGGTTGGTGTGGCGTGGGTGGATTGGTGTGGGTGGGTTGGTGTGGGTGGGTGTGGTGTGGGTTGGTGTGGTGTGGGTGGGTGGGTTGGTGTGGTGCAGGTGGGTTGGTGTGGTGCAGGTGGGTTGGTGTGGTGTGGGTGGGTTGGTGTGGCGTGGGTGGATTGGTGTGGTGTGGGTGGGTTGGTGTGGTGTGGGTGGGTTGGTGTGGTGTGGGTGGGTTGGTGTGGTGCAGGTGGGTTGGTGTGGTGTGGGTGGGTTGGTGTGGCGTGGGTGGATTGGTGTGGGTGGGTTGGTGTGGGTGGGTGTGGTGTGGGTTGGTGTGGTGTGGGTGGGTGGGTTGGTGTGGTGCAGGTGGGTTGGTGTGGGTGGGTGTGGTGTGGGTTGGTGTGGTGTGGGTGGGTTGGTGTGGCGTGGGTGGATTGGTGTGGGTGGGTTGGTGTGGGTGGGTGTGGTGTGGGTTGGTGTGGTGTGGGTGGGTGGGTTGGTGTGGTGCAGGTGGGTTGGTGTGGTGCAGGTGGGTTGGTGTGGTGTGGGTGGGTTGGTGTGGCGTGGGTGGATTGGTGTGGTGTGGGTGGGTTGGTGTGGCTGGGTTGGTGTGGTGTGGGTGGGTAGGTTGGTGTGGCTGGGTTGGTGTGGTGTGGGTGGGTTGGTGTGGTGTGGGTGGGTTGGTGTGGTGTGGTGTGGGTTGGTGTGGTGTGGGTGGGTTGGTGTGGCGTGGGTGGATTGGTGTGGGTGGGTTGGTGTGGGTGGGTGTGGTGTGGGTTGGTGTGGTGTGGGTGGGTGGGTTGGTGTGGTGCAGGTGGGTTGGTGTGGTGCAGGTGGGTTGGTGTGGTGTGGGTGGGTTGGTGTGGCGTGGGTGGATTGGTGTGGGTGGGTTGGTGTGGTGTGGGTGGGTTGGTGGGTCGGTGTGGTGTGAGTGGGTTGGTGTGGTGTAGGTGGGTTGGTGTTGTGTAGGTGGGCTGGTGTGGTGTGGGTGGGTGGGTTGGTGTAGTGTGGGTTGGTGTAGTGTGGGTGGGTTGTTGTGGTGTGGGTGTAGTGAGTGGGTTGGTATGGCGTGGTTGGGTGCAGTGTAGTGTGTGTGTGTTGGTGTAATTAGGATGTGTGGGTGTAGTGTGGGTGGGTTGTGTGTGTGGGTGTGTTGGTGTGGTTAGGATGTGTGGGTGTAGTATGGGTGGGTTGGTGTGGTTGGATGTAGTGTGTGAGACAAATACACCAATAAACAAAATCTCTGTCGACCGCCCTATTAAACACTACTTGGCTTTTGGAAAAGAGAAAAAATCAGGACACTCGTGATGAAAAGCTAACTTCATTTTATCAATACATGTATAGTAACTTATCAGAAACGGTTCTTAAAATAACATACAATGACCACAATATGGTTCAAAATTTTCCTTCTTTTTACATTTTATGAAAAAAAAAGTGCTATTTTAAATAGATGTAAAATACGATTACGCATTTTTCCTTTAACAAAAGACTAAATTTGTTCGAAAAATATCTTCTTACTTTATCAAAGATATTTTTTGAACCGCTGTGCTGATATCGATTTTATTGTTTAGCAACAGAGCCCGATAGAGCGTCCGTAGCAACGGCAAATGGCGCGCTACGGTCTAATGGGGTCAAGCTATTGAATGCTGAAACACAGGATTCGGTTGCTGTTTTTGCATAACCGAACTGGGGCGGGGAAAACAAAAGATATCACAACACGAATCCTATGCGCCGGGGATTTCACGTCTCGAGAAACAGGGGAAGTGACTCGTAAAGATAATAAATAGAGTTGCCGGCTCGAGTTATCAGAACTTATAGGTATGGCACAGCTAGTTTTGTATTCCAATATTATACTGCGTGACAGTGTGATAGGCTAGCCTTTTATGGGCTGTACAGTTACAACGATGGATTAAAAAAAATGGTGCCATACTCCAGAGGCGTAGCGAGGGGGGGGGGGGGGCGGGACATATGTCCCCGGGCGCCGACCTTAGGGGGGGCGCCAAATCGAAAGTTTGAGGGGGGGGGTGCAAATGAAAAGTTCGAGGGGGGGTGCAAATCGAAAGTTTGAGGGGGGGGGGGGGGTGCAAATGAAAAGTTCGAAGGGGGGGGGGTGCAAATCGAAAGTTCGGGGGGGGGGGGTGCAAATCGAAAATTTGCTCCCGAGGGGGGCGCCAAATTGAAAGTATGTCCCCGGGCGCCGGGAAGGGTCGCTACGCCTCTGCCATACTCAAATATTTTTTAAAACGTGAAGAAACTATTTGTTTAGATGTAAGAAATTGAAAGCACGACAATTTATAGATAGCATCTGCCCATTATGAACATACAATCTCGAAACACAATTAATTAAGTACATAAAAATCATTTAGAATAGTACGTTTTAAAATGCACTGTAAATAAGGAGAAAAAAACTAATCTGCTTTCTTTAATAAAAGCGTGGTCGCCAAAATGTGTAAGATTTTATGAGCTATCAATGCTTTAATTAAAGAAAAAAAAATTGTTTTATTTTCAGGGTTTTTATATGTTTGTTATACCTTCCACATTTGAGTAATTCGATCGATTTGAAGTTGACACCACTTTATCTAAAACTTAAAATAGTTAAAATAGTAGCTTGAAACCTCTAAAAAAAGCGTTCTGCCCCTTCTTACTCCGTTACAAAATCACTCAGCCGTGAAAAAAAATAGCTCACCATCGTCGGACTATGGATAGAACTGTAATGACTAATCTTAATCTAATATCTAATTAGATTTATAAAAAAATGATATTCTTGCATTGTCATCGAAGACACTTATATCTGGGAAGTTTGAGTGAAATCGGTGGGTTAAAATTGAGTAACAAGGTTAGCCACAATCCCACTAACAGACATTGTTAACTAAATAAAAGCTTATAATAAACACCAAAATATTTCTTTGCTGTTTTTTTTTTTACTTGACCTTGTCTGGTTCTACAGATGATTGGTTTTGTAAAAAATATTTTAATTGTGCTTTTTCTGGTTAACGTACCGTACCACATAACATGGGATCCCCACAAACACTAACCCCAGCGGTGATCCCTTTTTATTTATTTCTCGGGATCACTTAATAGCTGTATACTTTTACCACTCAACCGCAACCCAACAATCAATTGATGTTAAAACTTACATGTTACATTTAAACGAGTAAGCCCTGAACTTTACAGGGATATGAAGGGATAGTGTGGTCAGCACTTAGCCCATCTGACTTTATTTTCCCCAACGTTAGTTAGGTACTCATCAGAGCTGGGTAGACTCAACACTTTGCCCAGCTGCCTTTGTTTTTAGCCAGGTACTCATCAGAGCTGGGTGGAACCAGGTACTGCCAACAAACTTGAATCCGAGATCCGAACTCAATAATTTCAGCGTAGCGGTCGTGCGCACTTCTTCCCCGACCACGCGTCCCACTGGGCTAATAGAAGCACCACAACATTCAATTCTAAACCCTACTCTACTTACTGTTGGCGTGCAGCCTCAGCCTCTTCATCAGCGCCGTGGAGACCACCGTGGGGGCCGGCGATCTGGCGGTGACCTTCCTCTCCTCAAGGTCATCGCAGGCCAGCAGGAAGTCGTCCAGCTGCTTCATCTCCTCGCTGTCCATCAGACGAGTCGACTTCTGCAGGCACCACGGCGACATGAACTGCTCCGACACGACGTTCACTGACTCCGCCGCCTCCTCCTCCTCGTCCTCCTCCGACTCTGTTTCTGACTCCGAGTCGGAGTCTTCCTCGTCGATGCTGGTGTCCCGATGCGCACGCGCGCGAGCCCTGTAGTCCAACCCCCGGGGGAAGGAGTGAGCACCGGGGTGTCCGACGCTGACCTCGCTGATCTGATCAACAGAGAACGCCCTTTCACTCTCGCACCGCGCACCTTTTTTATAAGCAACTTTAGACCGGATACCGTATTTCTCCCCGGCTCCTCTTAACTTCCAAGGATTCTCTTTCACTGGGCACTCTTCCACCACCGCCTCGACCTTCTCCTGCTGATTTTCATTCGCGGCTCCCGAAAAATCCCCGCTGGGGTCTTTATAACACGACCGGATGTTCAAACCCCCAGTGGAAAGATCAGAGTCAGATTGGGGTCGGGGGTTGAGCCCCAGGGTGGAGGTCTCGCTGTCCTCCTCGTGTCGGGAACACCGCGACTTGTCAAACAACATTTTTTGATACTCCACAGAGGTCATGGCGGCCGGCCCCGTCTCATTGTCGCCCGTGTTGATCATATCCTTGACCACCCCGGAACTCGGCAACACCGGGAGGTTCTCGCTCTGGAGCAGCTTCCTCATCACGTGATGCTTGGTCATCTGGACTTTCTTCTTCAGGGTCAGTAGCGGCGGGAGGCTGCTTTTGCTCTTGATGTCCGGCACGATGCTCAGAAGCTCGTGGTCGCCGATCCTGAACGTCTGCTCCTCGATATCCTGGTCGGATAGACACAGCTCCCGGCTGCTGTTGTTGTTGACGTTGTCGTCGTGCCCCGCCCAGTCCGCGACGTCCCACAGCTCCGGGTAGACGGGCAGGAAGTTGATGAAGAGGATCTTGTGGACCCGGATGTTGACAGTGGCCTGCTGGTGCTGGGATAGAACTTGGTGTAAGACAAAATCAAGACGGCGGTAAAACTGGATCGCTTCGTTTGTTTCCTCCGTTACTTGATTCACGCCTGTTCTAACCACACAACTATTCTGTACCCCGGCCCCCAGCACTGCTATCTCAGTTAACTCAAGTTTGTTGTTTTGTACAGACTCGAGAACATTTTCATCTGTGATTGTCTCTAAGCATTCCTGCAACATACTCAAGTCTTGGTTAATATTTTTCACTAAAATGATATCGCTGTTCTGATTGGTCAGATTGTCAATTTTAACATGCTCGTTACTGCTCAAGTTTTCTGATTGGTTACTGGTGGACTTCCGGTTATTTTGAAACGGGACGAGTTGCCTCTCCTGGTATTGACCCTGTGCTTGGTTCAAATCTTTCTGGATTTTCTTCTCGGCTTTATCAGAAGACATCCAGCAGCTTGAACCTGGCGCACACGAATTGCAACCTTTCTCGGGTTGTTGACAACCAGGCGGACAACCCTGATGCCAACCAGAGGGACACAAGTGGCAGTCAACCTCAGACAGCACCTGAATAAACCGCTCCACTCTGGCGGAGCTCGCCAGCTCACCTCTCACAAACGACAACATTGCTGTCGCTTTTTTAGCATCCTCCGCGTCGAAAGTTCCCAGTCTCTGCTTCTGTTTGAAATATTTAAACAACCGGTACAAGTTCTTGAACTTTCCATTCTGCTTCGTCGATGGGGTTAACTGCAGAGACCGGATATAATTATGATTAACATCCGGGTCTATACTTTCTCCTCTCTCGTTATCGCAGCTTGCCCTGGTCTCTAAGTTAACCTGGGTGACCACATTGGAATTTTCATCCGGAGTCTCGAGATTTTCTTTGGCGGTGAGGTCAGGTAGAGAGGATACTATCAAAGATGACCGCTGCCCGTTCTTGGCCGTTTCTTCGATGACGTCAGGAGTGGCCAGATCAGACTCGTCGTCTGCTGGCTGATCACACTGGCTGTCTGGGTGGTCACGCTGACTCTCAAGAGTCGAGTTGTCCTGACTCTCCAGAGTCGAGTTGTCCTGACTCTCGCCGTCCATGTTGAAGATGGATTTCTTGGACGGGCTGTAGCGGGAGACAACCCACGAGTGTTCCGGGCAGTGACTGCAAGTCATGAAACATCAGTTGGTCAATCAGAAGTCATAAAACATCAGAAGGTCAAACAGAAGTCATATAATGTCAGTAGGTCAGTCAGAAGTCATATAATGTCAGTAGGTCAGTCAGAAGTCATATAATGTCAGTAGGTCAGTCAGAAGTCATATAATGTCAGTAGGTCAATCAGAAGTCATTTAATGTCAGTAGGTCAGTCAGAAGTCATATAATGTCAGTAGGTCAATCAGAAGTCATATAATGTCAGTAGGTCAATCAGAAGTTATGAAATATTAGTAGGTCAATGAGAAGTCATGTAATCAGTACGTCAATCAGAAGCCATGAAATATCAGTTGGTCAATTAGAAGTCATAAAACATGAATCCATAAAACAAGATATGTCAATTAATTCACAGAAGTCACAAAGCATAAGTCACTAAGTAAAGTCATCAGAAGTAGGTCATCCAAAAGACATTTAACAGGAGAATATCAATCAGAAGTCATAAAATATGAATAGGTCATTTACAAAATCATAAAACATGTACAGGCCAATCAATGTTCATAAAATATGTATAGGTCAATTAACACAATTATTTATCGAATGACACCTGGGGGCGACACTATTGATCAAAATGTTGCGTTGCACAAACTTTTGACAGGTGTACCAACCTATGACAGAGCCCCATCAACCAAGATGTACCAACCTATGACAGAGCCCCATCAACCAAGATGTACCAACCTATGACAGAGCCCCATCAACCAAGATGTACCAACCTATGACAGAGCCCCATCAACCAAGATGTACCAACCTATGACAGAGCCCCATCAACCAAGATGTACCAACCTATGACAGAGCCCTATCAACCAAGATGTACCAACCTATGACAGAGCCCCATCAACCAAGATGTACCAACCTATGACAGAGCCCCATCAACCAGGCGTCTATAGACTTGACGATGTACCAACCTATGACATAGCCCCATCAACCAAGATGTACCAACCTATGACAGAGCCCCATCAACCAAGATGTACCAACCTATGACAGAGCCCAATCAACCAAGATGTACCAACCTATGACAGAGCCCCATCAACCAAGATGTACCAACCTATGACAGAGCCCCATCAGCCAAGATGTACCAACCTATGACAGAGCCCTATCAACCAAGATGTACCAACCTATGACAGAGCCCCATCAACCAAGATGTACCAACCTATGACAGAGCCCCATCAACCAAGATGTACCAACCTATGACAGAGCCCCATCAACCAAGATGTACCAACCTATGACAGAGCCCCATCAACCAGGCGTCTATAGACTTGAAGATGTACCAACCTATGACAGAGCCCCATCAACCAAGATGTACCAACCTATGACAGAGCCCTATCAACCAAGATGTACCAACCTATGACAGAGCCCCATCAACCAAGATGTACCAACCTATGACAGAGCCCCATCAACCAAGATGTACCAACCTATGACAGAGCCCCATCAACCAAGATGTACCAACCTATGACAGAGCCCCATCAACCAAGATGTACCAACCTATGACAGAGCCCCATCAACCAGGCGTCTATAGACTTGAAGATGTACCAACCTATGACAGAGCCCCATCAACCAAGATGTACCAACCTATGACAGAGCCCCATCAACCAAGATGTACCAACCTATGACAGAGCCCCATCAACCAAGATGTACCAACCTATGACAGAGCCCCATCAACCAAGATGTACCAACCTATGACAGAGCCCTATCAACCAAGATGTACCAACCTATGACAGAGCCCCATCAACCAAGATGTACCAACCTATGACAGAGCCCCATCAACCAGGTGTCTATAGACTTGACGATGTACCAACCTATGACATAGCCCCATCAACCAAGATGTACCAACCTATGACAGAGCCCCATCAACCAAGATGTACCAACCTATGACAGAGCCCAATCAACCAAGATGTACCAACCTATGACAGAGCCCCATCAACCAAGATGTACCAACCTATGACAGAGCCCCATCAACCAAGATGTACCAACCTATGACAGAGCCCTATCAACCAAGATGTACCAACCTATGACAGAGCCCCATCAACCAAGATGTACCAACCTATGACAGAGCCCCATCAACCAAGATGTACCAACCTATGACAGAGCCCCATCAACCAAGATGTACCAACCTATGACAGAGCCCCATCAACCAGGCGTCTATAGACTTGAAGATGTACCAACCTATGACAGAGCCCCATCAACCAAGATGTACCAACCTATGACAGAGCCCTATCAACCAAGATGTACCAACCTATGACAGAGCCCCATCAACCAAGATGTACCAACCTATGACAGAGCCCCATCAACCAAGATGTACCAACCTATGACAGAGCCCCATCAACCAAGATGTACCAACCTATGACAGAGCCCCATCAACCAAGATGTACCAACCTATGACAGAGCCCCATCAACCAGGCGTCTATAGACTTGAAGATGTACCAACCTATGACAGAGCCCCATCAACCAAGATGTACCAACATATGACAGAGCCCCATCAACCAAGATGTACAAACCTATGACAGAGCCCCATCAACCAAGATGTACCAACCTATGACAGAGCCCCATCAACCAGGCGTCTATAGACTTGAAGATGTACCAACCTATGACAGAGCCCCATCAGCCAGGCGTCTATAGACTTGAAGATGTACCAACCTATGACAGAGCCCCATCAACCAAGATGTACCAACCTATGACAGAGCCCCATCAACCAGGCGTCTATAGACTTGAAGATGTACCAACCTATGACAGAGCCCCTTCAGCCAGGCGTCTATAGACTTGAAGATGTACCAACCTATGACAGAGCCCCATCAACCAAGATGTACCAACCTATGACAGAGCCCCATCAACCAGGCGTCTATAGACTTGAAGATGTACCAACCTATGACAGAGCCCCATCAACCAGGGGTCTATAGACTTGAAGATGTACCAACCTATGACAGAGCCCCATCAACCAAGATGTACCAACCTATGACAGAGCCCCATCAACCAGGCGTCTATAGACTTGAAGATGTACCAACCTATGACAGAGCCCCATCAACCAGGGGTCTATAGACTTGAAGATGTACCAACCTATGACAGAGCCCCATCAACCAGGGGTCTATAGACTTGAAGATGTACCAACCTATGACAGAGCCCCATCAACCAGGGGTCTATAGACTTGAAGATGTACCAACCTATGACAGAGCCCCATCAACCAGGGGTCTATAGACTTGAAGATGTACCAACCTATGACAGAGCCCCATCAACCAGGGGTCTATAGACTTGAAGATGTACCAACCTATGACAGAGCCCCATCAACCAGGGGTCTATAGACTTGAAGATGTACCAACCTATGACAGAGCCCCATCAACCAGGGGTCTATAGACTTGAAGATGTACCAACCTATGACAGAGCCCCATCAACCAAGATGTACCAACCTATGACAGAGCCCCATCAACAAGGCGTCTATAGACTTGAAGATGTACCAACCTATGACAGAGCCCCATCAACCAGGCGTCTATAGACTTGAAGATGTACCAACCTATGACAGAGCCCCATCAACCAGGCGTCTATAGACTTGAAGATGTACCAACCTATGACAGAGCCCCATCAACCAGGCGTCTATAGACTTGAAGATGTACCAACCTATGACAGAGCCCCATCAACCAGGCGTCTATAGACTTGAAGATGTACCAACCTATGACAGAGCCCCATCAACCAGACGTCTATGGACTTGAAGATGTACCAACCTATGACAGAGCCCCATCAACCAGGCGTCTATAGACTTGAAGATGTACCAACCTATGACAGAGCCCCATCAACCAGGCGTCTATAGACTTGAAGATGAACCAACCTATGACAGAGCCCCATCAACCAGGCGTCTATAGACTTGAAGATGTACGTCTCGCTGTGGAAACTTCTCGGCGTGAACCTGTACGAGTCGAAGATGCCGACCTTGCCCGTGTTCCAGCGCGAGCCGATCGTCTGCTCACCCTGACCCAGCCAGATCTCCACGTGCAGCATGTCGTGCTTCTGACGTTTACCTGACATGGACATTTTTAATACACGGTGACTGTCTTTCACGTTTGTCAATAGTCTACACATTATGTTATGTCGTCCTTTTGTCCATATTGGCTGTTTGCCCATGTCGGCCTTTTGTCCATAGACGGCATGTTGTCCATGTCGGCCTGTGGTTTATGTCGGCTTTATACCCACGTCGGCCTATAGTCAGGATCCCTTTATACGGGGTAACGTTCTTAAAGTTTGTCCTATACAGGCTACATTAGCTACGATCAAGTACTTTCACTAATATCTACTCATACTCAAGCTTAACATATAACACCTCTCCAGATCCATCTTCTACCAGTAACACAACTTAAATCAAAGCCACAACTCTAAGGAGTCTAACCCATAACAACAAAAACATGTTACCCACCCATCCCGCTCTAGGTCATAGAACGCACTTTTAGACACACCCCCCCAAAAAAAAAATTAAAAAAAAAATCCGATCTAATACCCCTTCACATCCACCACCCAAAATGGCAAATCTGCACTTAAGTTAGAGCTAAACTTCTATACACTTTAACCCGGCTACTGAAAGCATGTATACCACCCCAATACCCTCACCCCCTGGGACTTACTTTTGAGGTTGTTGTAGCACTCTGCCATGAAAGCATGTATACCACCCCATACCCCCCACCCGGGACTTACTTCTGGGGTTGTTGTAGCACCCTGCCATGAAAGCATGTATAACACCCCCACCCCCCGGGACTTACTTCTGGGGTTGTTGTAGCACCCTGCCCCACCTCGGGACTTACCTCTGGGGTTGTTGTAGCACCCTGCCCCACCCCCGGGACTTACTTCTGGGGTTGTTGTAGCACCCTGCCCCACCCCCCGGGACTTACTTCTGGGGTTGTTGTAGCACCCCACCCCCCGGGACTTACTTCTGGGGTTGTTGTAGCACCCCACCCCCGGGACTTACTTCTGGGGTTGTTGTAGCACCCTGCCCCACCCCCCGGGACTTACTTCTGGGGTTGTTGTAGCACCCTGCCCCACCCCCCGGGACTTACTTCTGGGGTTGTTGTAGCACCCCACCCCCCGGGACTTACTTCTGGGGTTGTTGTAGCACCCCACCCCCCGGGACTTACTTCTGGGGTTGTTGTAGCACCCCACCCCCCGGGACTTACTTCTGGGGTTGTTGTAGCACCCTGCCCCACCCCCCGGGACTTACTTCTGGGGTTGTTGTAGCACCCTGCCCCACCCCCCGGGACTTACTTCTGGGGTTGTTGTAGCACCCCACCCCCGGGACTTACTTCTGGGGTTGTTGTAGCACCCCACCCCCCGGGACTTACTTCTGGGGTTGTTGTAGCACCCCACCCCCCGGGACTTACTTCTGGGGTTGTTGTAGCACCCCACCCCCCGGGACTTACTTCTGGGGTTGTTGTAGCACCCCACCCCCCGGGACTTACTTCTGGGGTTGTTGTAGCACCCCACCCCCGGGACTTACTTCTGGGGTTGTTGTAGCACCCCACCCCCCGGGACTTACTTCTGGGGTTGTTGTAGCACCCCACCCCCCGGGACTTACTTCTGGGGTTGTTGTAGCACCCCACCCCCCGGGACTTACTTCTGGGGTTGTTGTAGCACCCCACCCCCGGGACTTACTTCTGGGGTTGTTGTAGCACCCTGCCCCACCCCCCGGGACTTACTTCTGGGGTTGTTGTAGCACCCCACCCCCGGGACTTACTTCTGGGGTTGTTGTAGCACCCCACCCCCCGGGACTTACTTCTGGGGTTATTGTAGCACCCTGCCATGAAGACCAGGTCCCCGGGCTGCATCTCCCCCTGGGTCAGGCTGACCGGGAGAGTGTCGTACATGTAGCACTGGTTCCAGGGTCCCAGACGAAAGCCAAGGTCATCCTGAAGGTCACGCATCACTTGCCGGACCAGGCCACAACAGTCCAGGAACTTGGGGGAGCTGTACTCGGGGGCTGGGGGTGGGGAGGGGTGTACAAGAGTAAAGGTAAATATGGAGACTTCAACTGTATAAAAGAGTTGCATGCCCTTAGTTTAGTTTATTAATCCTTTAGTGATTTGTGTAGCATTACGTTATCACTGTGTGATGTGTGACGTGTTACTTTTATCATCGTGTGTATACTGCTTGCGCAATATATTTACTATTGTAAATGATGTATAGGGCATTATATGTAGTATTGTATGTGATGTGTGGGTATTATATTATTATTGTGTATGCTGTATGGGTCAGAGGCCAACCAAAAAAACGTGGGCCATCTTCCGCTCAGGAGCATGTTGATACTGGGGCTTATTTCATTTACGTGGCCAATTGATACGTGGCCCATCTTCAGATCAGGAGGAAGTTGATACCTTGTCCAATATCATTGAAGTGGCCAATTGATATGTTGGCCGTCTTCAGATCAGAGAATAGTTGATACGCACGCCATTTTTAGGTCAAGGGCCAGCTGATATGCGGGCCATTTCTAGATCAAGGGCAAGCTGATACCTGGGCCATCTTCAGATCAGAGGCCAGGTGCCCCGGGGCATTGATAGCGCCACGCCCTGTCATTAGCCCGGGGGTGTGTGTCATACAGGTAATGGATTGGCCCAGGCTCAATGCCAACGGCACGTGCCTTGGGCAGGCGCATGGGTAAGGGGGTGGGTAGGTGGGGGGGGAGGGGTAAGGAGTGGGTGGGGTGAGGGGTAAAGGGGTGGGTGTACCAAAATTAAAAAGGAAAAAAGCGATGGAAGGGGCGACCGGAGTATACTAATAAAAAGGATAAAGGGAGATGACTATACATTTGGGGGAGGTAACTATGCTAACGTTCGGTAGGGGAAGTAACAAAAGAAGTATTTGGTGGTAGGTGTAGTAACCCGTGCTAAATCATATCGCGGCATAGGGGAGATAATAGTAAAATTATTAGGGGTAGGGGAGGATAACTCGAGTAGGGTTCAAAGTGATTCAGACAATATCCGGTTTTTGAAGTGGTTTATTGCTCGGACGACCCCCCACCTCCCTACCACCCACCCCCCGTCACTATTCGGTTGGTTGCTATCGTGGTCAGGATTAAAACAACACACATCTCAAACTTGTCAATTCCATGTCAAAAAAAAATTTGACACTTCCATTGTACGCCAGCTTTCCGCAATTAACAATAGCAGCGGTCCCTTTGTCCACCCGACTCCGTCCATTTTCCGTTTTCATTTCCAACTTTCATTTTTTTTTCTCTTTCCAAACTTGATTTTTTATTTTTCCAGCCGCTAGTCTGTTATTAGGGCTATTCGTTAAATTTCCGGAACACAGGAGTATAAACAGTTATTCCCCCTGTGGTAGTCACGAATACATAGTATCTCTAATGAAGGGGAATGCCCGATTAACGACGTGTTTATTTGGCGCACCGCGCGTTGCTCGCAGGCAGTGATATGAAATAGCAGTTTAAAAACAATCTGCTTCACTCTCGCCCGCATGGTTTTAGCAGCTTAAAATAATGAGACTTTTTTTTTGTAATTTTTATTGGTGCAAGCTGACGAGGACAGAGAAATTGAAACATTAGTAAGATGGAGAGTTTAATTAATTTTCTAGTATCCACCCCGCCCCCCCCCCCGTACCGTGTGGCGCATTAGTGTCTGTTATAGGGGTGAGTACCCCATATGTTGGTGCTCTGTTTTCTAATAGCTACACCAAGATTATAGCCAAACTGCTATAGTCACAGGTGACCCTGCTTATTTTCTTTAAGGTCGCCTTTTAAAATCAACCCGTCATTAGGGGTCATCCATTTATGACGTCCACAAAAAATTCGGATTTTAGACCCCTCTCTGTGTCCACTTCCGACGCCCCCCCCCCCTCCCATCCCATGTGTACGTCACAAAAATTTAGTAGATCTCGCAAAACTTGCTACCAATTTACTATTTCAACAACGTATTTTTTTTTACCCATTATCTGATTATACGGCTTTAATATTTTCAAAAATGTTTGTTATTAGGCCTACATATCTAAAGTAGAATCTAGAGGTCTCTTTATGTATCACGAGCATAGTCGTCTAAATTTCACTTTTTACAAGCAGGAGTTTTATATTTGTTTTAAAATATTTGTACTTTGACATTAAGTTCTACAAGTTCTACAAGTTGACCCGACCCTCCCCCCATTCCACACGCGTCCAAAAAAGTATATTTTCTCGGACCCCCCTTCTCCCCCTTCGTGTGGACCTCATAAATGGATGGCCCCTTACTGGTCACCTATAACAAATACCCTACTCTTGTACTACTTAGTACATCACTTATTGTTCAGGTGTATTACTGGTAACATGAGACAAGCCATCTGAAAAAAAACTATAATAAAAAATTAATTAGGCATCCAATTAAGTCAAATTTAATGTCATGTTGCATTGTCTTCATGTCTTGACTCACGTTCCAACTACGAACCGTATCTGTCAGTTAGAAGTACCAGTAATTTCGCTCGGGCGTTTCGATCTAGACGGACGACAGACAGAGGAAGTGAGTTAAATAAAAGCTTGTATAAACCTACGTGTATGCGTATTCTCTTCCAATCTGTGATATAATCTTAAGATTGAAAAAGGGGACTTCAAACCTTACACAACTATACATATTATTCTGTAGTTTTGTAGTTGAGCAAGTATATCGGTCAAAAAGGGTCTATTTAATGTAGCTGCCGAGTTAACATCCCTGTTTCCCGGGTGATACAAACACTTCAATGACGTAAAACACAAACTTTACTTGATGTCACATTTTATGGTCCCTTCCGGCACAGAAACGACTAACACAGGAATCAACTCAAACACAACCCTAATCCTTAACCTGATCCTTAGAATCTGGCTTAGGGATTAACTTGACCATATACTTGGTTCAGTGGCCAGTGAATAGTTCTGGGTTTACCCCCACACAAAAATGTTGCCAACCGTTTAAATGGTTGTAAAAAATATATCACTAGTGAATATACATGTACCAATGTACATGAATGTTGTTTAGATGACGTATAGTTGCCATGTGGATGAGAATAATAATAACAACAGTCCTACAATAGGCTGTTTCTTTTGATCATGACATCAAAGAAATGACACTTAGCATGGCATCACAGACATGCCACGTAACAGCTTATCCCCATTCCTTATATGCTGAGTTCGTGTGTGCTTTTGTATTCCGCCATCGAAAGCTGAGGGCAAATCTCTTGTGATACAAAAACAACAACCAAATATTTTCAATAGATTTTCATTGTAGTTGGGTTACCATAATAGACACAAACCGTGAATTATGCACAAGTTGACTAAGGAAATGTTTTGCTCTCTTTATTTATGATTAAAATGTCCTCTAGTGTTTTAGTACTAAAAGGTCCTCTAGTGTTTTAGGACAAAAGGTCCTCTAGTGTTTTAGTACTAAAAGGTCCTCTAGTGTTTAAGGTCCTCTACTACTTTACACTACTCTCTCCTACTGTGTGCTACTATCTACTACTTAATGCTACCCTGTACTACTTTATTTCACTCTCTACTGCTATGCTACTCTCTTCTTCTTTATGATATTCTCTACTAGTTTATGCGAATCTCTACTACTTTATATTAATCTCTACTACTATGCTACTCTCTACTACTTTATACTACTCTCTATTGATATATGCTATTCTCTTCGCGTACATAACTGGTGAATATGATGATTGTAGGAAAAAAAGTCACAGGAAAAAAAAAACACAGGAAAAAAAACACAGAAAAAAAGTCACAGGAAAAAAAGTCACAGGAAAAAAAGTCACAAATATATATTTGCATGATATTTGTTAATACTTTTATGTATTAAATAATTAGAGAGTGCAAATTAACTTAGGATTAATTAAATGTAATGTAATGGGTGTAGGCTGTATACGCATAGGAATTTTTATAATTCATCTAAAAATATTTATTATGAAGTATGTAGATTGTAATTATTTTAAACTTAAGATTAGTAGCATTTAATAGAATGCTCCAAAGTCCACGTTTTTCATCGTGTTTTTTTTTTAAATACCAATATTAAATTACCGTGAAATGGTAAGTTCGTCTGACTTGCTGCCCTCAACTCATGGCAACAATAGTTATGTTTAGTTCAACCACCTTTACTGCCCACATTTATCACGCTCATTACATAACAAAACTTAGGATCAAAACAGAAAGCCGACAAGGTTCAAAGGCTGTCATTGACGCATAACGTCAACAACAAAAATATGTTCGGACAATGCCTAGTGAGGAGAGGCCAACCAGAGAATAGCCTACAGCAAAATATGCCTACATTTCTTTTATAATTAACTTTTCTACCGCGTATTTAACTAAATACGTAACGAAAGTTGAGATTGTTATGTTGATTATCTTAGAGTATTTTTACTTACAATTGTTATAAATCATAATGCTTTTAACGTCTATAAATAATTTATGCTATCAAAAAATACAACCCACAACAATAAACATACAAAATTTACAATTCTTAACAAATTAATAAAAAGATTTCTAAAAAGATTTTTGTGACTTTTTTTCTGTGACTTTATTTCTGTGACTTTTTTTCCGATAAAATTTTTCCACTGTGACTTTTTTTCTGTGACTTTTTTTCCTAGCAAAAACTGTGACTTTTTTTCTGTGTTTTTTTTTCCTGTGACTTTTTTCCGTTTACCGAATATGATATAATGTAGTACACTATATTTTGCTTAAGTATAAAGTATATAGAGGTAGCACATATTAAACAGGTTTAATCGACTAATTAATCAGCAATTTTTATTTGGTAGGTTTCTATATGAGACCAAAGGTTACGAAAGTAATTAAGAAAAATAATTAATAAGAGGAACTCATTAATCTTGGACCTAATTGTATCTCTCTCCTGTACACGTCACTAGCTAAAGTGCCAGCCTGCAATGATGGAGAAGTGGGTGGGGTACAATAGGGGCTAGGGGTCAGTGTGTGGAAGAGAGGGGGGTCAGTGGAGGGGTCAGACGAAGTATGAACCTTGTAATGAGCAATGATAGCACATTATATTAGACTCAATAGGACGGGGGGTGGGGATGGTGGGGTGGGGGAGAGTCAGGTTGTAAAAGATTATGATAATGAGGACAAAGTTGAGCAAATTAATTATCGTGATCACAGCGAGATAAGTGAGGGGGCAGAGGAGCGGCGTGGACAGGTAGGCGTGCGCGCGTGCGTTCGACAACGCCACGCCGCGTGTGAGTCGTGGTGTGTGTGTGTGTGGAGGGGGGGGGGGGGGGTGGAGGTGGGGCAGGTATGGGCGAGGCTCTTTGTGACGGGGCCAAGACAAACGAAAAACCTGGTCAAAATTTGACGTCCCCTGTGCTAAATTTATCTCACGGGGCACGTGACCGCGTCAGGCTGCTCACGCGTACCTCGACTGACGAGTGGCGTCCCTTTTTGTACACGGGGGGGATTAGCCCCTACCCCCACCTCACATCTCGTGATATCTTTCTGATATAATAGTTCCATAACGTCGTTGCTCTTGTACCAGTCCAAGTATAGCTTACTACAAAAATAGTTAAGCCCAAATTATTAATTTTCATATTATTTTCAATAGATAAGCTAAGGGGGTTAACCGCGTATGAAATTCTACCTACAAAAAGCTAGTTGCCGTTTTTATCCCTTGGTTTGTTTTTATAAATAGCTAAATACATGAGTAGTCTAAATGAAATAGCGGTTATATTTTTAAATTTAAAAAGAAAATACAGTATAGAATCTTATAAGTCCAAGTATTTTGTAATAAAATTGTTTTGTTTTTCTTGCTGCTGGAAAAAAAAGTACACAATGCGTTTACTATGTAACATGCCCACAAAATATTAAGTTCACACAAGTGATTCGCTACCTAGATGGTGTTGGTAGACATAAACATGTATGTACGTGTGTGTTCGTGTATGTGTGTGTGAATAGAGTGAATAGACATATAGACCGACGGACGGACAAACAAACTTACAGACAGACAGACAGACAGACATACAGCAGAAAGATAGGTAGCAGCGTGTCTCATTGGTGCAAAGCATGTTTTTTTTACTGGGGGGGGGGGGGGGGGGTGGTGGGGGTTACCCCCTCCCGTATTACAATTAAGATTGAAGGTGGAAAATCTATTTCATCTCAACATAATAAAATCATTTAAATAATGTGTTATCTAACATGTCGTTTAATATAATCTATTAAATTACACCCCACGAACCATAACTCACACACCATTTATCATCTGGATTATTGCCCCTTACGCCCCATCAAAACACTAGGAAAATGAACACAACAAAATGACGTCCTGCTGCGCCAGTTGACCAGCGCAAGCGGCTTTCGCCACCTGGCGGCCATTGTCCGGGGATTCCCCATTGTGACGTATGGCAACAAAGCACAATGAAGAGATATTAAAAGGACGGCGATCGCCCTTAGTGTACCGCTGGTTTTATTAACCATACAACTGGATGGGGTACAGCAACCCGCGGGATGGGGAGGGTTCAACAACCCCCCTCCCTGGGGATTCAACTCCCCCCCACGAGTGCGACTGTCAATGGGTCTTTAGATTACTTGAGGTCAGAACCGCGCCAATAAATTTTCAGGACAATCGCTAATTTCCCACAGTGGAAGGCTATTCACCAATATTCACCCCCCAGACCCCGGGAGTACTAGAGTTAATGGACCTGAAATAGGGGGGGGGGGCGAGATGGGTTGTCTGGGCAATATTAAGCACATCATCTGGCTTCTGTATGAAATCACAAGAAACACGATCCAATGTGGCTAAAGTTTAACGTATGCACGTGTGGCTAAAGTTTAACTTATGCATGTGGCTAAAGTTTAACTTATGCATGTGGCTAAAGTTTAACTTATGCATGTGGCTAAAGTTTAACTTATGGATGTGGCTAAAGTTTAACTTATGCATGTGGCTAAAATTTAACTTATGCATGTGGCTAAAGTTTAACTTATGGATGTGGCTAAAGTTTAACTTATGCATGTGGCTAAAATTTAACTTATGCATGTGGCTAAAGTTTAACTTATGCATGTGTGGCTGAAGTTTAACTTATGCATGTGGCTAAAGTTTAACCTATGCATGTGTGGCTAAAGTTTAACGTATGCACGTGTGGCTAAAGTTTAACTTATGCATGTGGCTAAAGTTTAACTTATGCATGTGGCTAAAGTTTAACTTATGCATGTGGCTAAAGTTTAACTTATGGATGTGGCTAAAGTTTAACTTATGCATGTGGCTAAAATTTAACTTATGCATGTGGCTAAAGTTTAACTTATGCATGTGTGGCTGAAGTTTAACTTATGCATGTGGCTAAAATTTAACTTATGCATGTGGCTAAAGTTTAACTTATGCATGTGTGGCTGAAGTTTAACTTATGCATGTGGCTAAAATTTAACTTATGCATGTGGCTAAAGTTTAACTTATGCATGTGTGGCTGAAGTTTAACTTATGCATGTGGCTAAAGTTTAACTTATGCATGTGGCTAAAGTTTAACTTATGGATGTGGCTAAAGTTTAACTTATGCATGTGGCTAAAATTTAACTTATGCATGTGGCTAAAGTTTAACTTATGCATGTGTGGCTGAAGTTTAACTTATGCATGAGGCTAAAGTTTAACTTATGCATGTGGCTAAAGTTTAACTTATGGATGTGGCTAAAGTTTAACTTATGCATGTGTGGCAGAAGTTTAACCTATGAGGCTAAAGTTTAACTTATGCATGTGGCTAAAATTTAACTTATGCATGTGGCTAAAGTTGAACTTATGCATGTGTGGCTGAAGTTTAACCTATGACCGTATGGCTAAAGTTTAACTTATGCACGTGTAGCTAAAGTTTAACTGATACACGTATGGCTAAACTTATGCAAGTGTGGCTAAAGTATGACGTATGCACGTGTGGTTAAAATATAACTTATGCAAGTGTGGCTGAAGTTTAACAGATGAACGTGTGGCTACAGAATACTCACACGAAGGGGGCCAGTACTTCTTGGCGTAGGGCACGCCTATATATTTGCGAGCCTGCTCGATGATCTTTGCCCGTAGCGCCTCCCTACGCCCCGGGTCGACGCTCCTGGCCTCATGGCGTTCACGCTCCTGTTTAATGTCATCCTGGGGTGACACCAAAATAAATTATTTGAATCAAGAGTTTTTTTGACTGATGATGTTTGGTATAACATTATGGCGATGACAATTTGATAAGTGATGTGTATAAAATATAAAACATGGGAAAGTGTGAGCAGGCGCTTCGATGTGGGTGTGAGCATGGGGGGGGGGGGGTGTAGGCGGGGAGGGGGTGAGAATTGAGAGGAGGTTTTTAAAAAGCTACTAACAGAGGTAACTTACATTTATTGTAGCAAGCTAATTGTTAAAAACAATATTAAAACATGTATAATAACACAAGTTAACATATGCACACAAAATTAAGAAGATCAAGTTATTTTTAGAATAAAGCGGGAGTGAACATATTTATATAACACTACGGGGGGCCGGGTGGGGATGGCAACAACTCCGGATATAGACATGATTTTAAATCAATTTCTAATTACTTAAACTTTTTAAAATAGAATAGAATATCGTAGAAAAAAATATTTGCAAGGTCTTTAGGCTGTTATTGAAGGGATCCCAATGTCTTTAGAATGTTATTAATGGGACCCCAAGGTCTTTAGACTGTTATCGATGGGACCCCAAGTCTTTAGAATTGTAACAGAGGGGACCCCTGAAGTCTTTGGACGTGTAGTCGATGGTACCCCAAATGTGAAATGTGATACATGGGACCCCTGAAGTCTTTAGTCGATGGTACCCCAAATGTGAAATGTGATACATGGGACCCCTGAAGTCTTTAGTCGATGGTACCCCAAATGTGAAATGTGATACATGGGACCCCTGAAGTCTTTGGACGTGTAGTCGATGGTACCCCAAATGTGAAATGTGATACATGGGACCCCTGAAGTCTTTAGTCGATGGTACCCCAAATGTGAAATGTGATACATGGGACCCCTGAAGTCTTTAGTCGATGGTACCCCAAATGTGAAATGTGATACATGGGACCCATGAGGTCTTTAGTCGATGGTACCCCAAATGTGAAATGTGATACATGGGACCCCTGAAGTCTTTAGTCGATGGTACCCTAAATGTGAAATGTGATACATGGGACCCCTGAAGTCTTTAGTCGATGGTACCCCAAATGTGAAATGTGATACATGGGACCCCTGAAGTCTTTAGTCGATGGTACCCCAAATGTGAAATGTGATACATGGGACCCCTGAAGTCTTTAGTCGATGGTACCCTAAATGTGAAATGTGATACATGGGACCCATGAGGTCTTTAGTCGATGGTACCCCAAATGTGAAATGTGATAGATGGGACCCCTGAAGTCTTTGGACGTGTAGTCGATGGTACCCCAAATGTGAAATGTGATAGATGGGACCCCTGAAGCAGTAGCGTAGCGAGGGGGGGGGACATATGTCCCGGGCGCCGAGCTTAGGGGGCGCCAAAATGGGTTGGAAAAAAAATTGAAAGGTTGAGGGGGGGGGTGCAAATTGAAAGTTTGAGGGGGGGGGGTGCAAATCAAAATTCTCGAGGGGGGGTGCAAATCGAAAGTTTGAGGGGGGGGTGCAAATCGAAAAGTTTGTCCCCGGGCGCCGGGAAGGGTCGCTACGCCTCTGCCCTGAAGTCTTTAGTCGATGGTACCCCAAATGTGAAATGTGATACATGGGACCCCTGATGTCTTTAGACTGGATGGGACCTCAGAGGTGACGTGTGATAGATGGGACCCCTGGGATCTTTAGGTACATGTGGTGGGACCCCCGAAACTCCATCGCGCCGAGTTCCAACAGGCAGGGATCAATCTTCGAGAACTCTCCGCCGGAAGTCCGTGCTACTACAGGCGGTGACAGGCAACGGTCGTCACGTGACCATAAACACGTCATTTGTTGCTATTAATCCACAATAAAATAAACACCCGTCTCAACATGACTAGTATATGGTCTTTTTTTTTCTTCTTTCATAACTCTGTCGCTGACTCGGTGCATAAGAATATCGTTTTTCTAAGTCCTGAATCATATCAGCTTTAGTTGAATGGAATCTTCCTGTTATGATCTGAACTAAGAAGGATTTTTATAGGATATCGCATGTCACGAAGATTATAAAAAAAAAAAAAATGCGTCGTGTTAAAATTTATAGGTGATCTAAAACTCGACCCAACATAGCGATCATGTTTTAGGCTTACAAGATTGTGATACTTGCCCCATCAAAATGTCACGTAAAACTCTACTTCACCTACACCCCCTCGCAGATATCTGGAGTGTGAGTGTTAGAGAGAGAGAGAGAGAGAGAGAGAGAGAGAGAGAGAGAGAGCAATGTTTACTTTCAATTTGCACCCGTTTGAAAATGCTTGCATGGGCTAAAAAGCGATTACTGGTGTTAGAGTTTGATAATTTGCAGGTCAACTCTACTTCAAGTATTCGATGTATCGCGAAGAGCGCTAAAAGTTTTATGAAGATAAAAGGTCTTAAGCTATTAAGTACCTCTATCCGCAAACAAAACCATATATATATATATATATATATATATATATATATATATATATATATATATATATATATATATATATATATATGTGTGTGTATCGTTCATAATGGCAGGCAATATATAGACTAATAGCTCTTTAGCAAGAGGACAGTACATACAAACAGAACACCTAATCTCTACAAAGATCTAGTCCTTACAATGTCCTCACCCGCCTACATGATTGCAATAGACAAACAAGGCACCCTATCCCCAACAATAACTTCCACTCCAAAGTTACAAACCCAAGATGTCCAACCCTACCGAACCTTCTCTAAGACAAAACACCAAAAAATAAACGCTGATTTTGCACATTGACAATGGTGGGCTAGGGTTATCAAAAACAACGATGCATGACATTCTATTCGTTTAGTTGCTTTAGACTATAAATGGTGTAGAAATTACCAAATCGAACGTCATTATACAGCTAATGACTGCAGAGGACGGTCCTTGTTCTAAAACAAAAAAGCTCGGTGCAAACGTATTATAACAAGGAAAATTAGTCAGTAACCTTTGTCGTCGTTTCTACAGCGACAAGCCTCGTATTGAGAGACAAACATGGCGGGCAAGTGTATCGATGCGGCGCGGAGATGCGAGCTATTTATATCTACCAATGGCACGTTATTTAGCTTGGACTCGTCACGAATGAGTAGGGCCGGGGGCTAAATGCGACTCAATCAATCTACCTACAGATGTGTGGTAGCGAGGGGTCATTACTGGGTTAATGGGGATGTGGCCTGGGGGTGGGGAGGGCGGGGAGGGTGAGGTTGGGTGTGGTAGAAGAGTTGGATGATGTGGAGGGGAAGAAAACGAAATGATGAAGCAAGCTCACAAGCCATCTTTCATGTAATATGCGCGGCCGTGCAGTAGTTGTAAATCCACGCCACGGCCATTTTGTAAAATTAAAACAACCTTGTATAAGGCAGCTCAAAGCACCGCACACACAAAATGTATGTTACACACACGTTTTTAGTCCAAAGAGAGGAGCTCGCTATCTAGGACCCCACCCCCGACAATAAAATACACGATCAATGTTCTCAACACTCCACCCCGACCATGTGATAGGGATACATGTAAGTAATCCTATTCTACTTACATATATCCACTACCACGGGATAGGGATACATGTAAGTAATCCTATTCTACTTACATATATCCACTACCACGGGATAGGGATACATGTAAGTAATCCTATTGTACTGACATGTATCCACTACCATGGGATAGGGATACATGTAAGTAATCCTATTGTACTTACATGTATCCACTACCATGGGATAGGGATACATGTAAGTAATCCTATTGTACTTACATGTATCCACTACCATGGGATAGGGATACATGTAAGTAATCCTATTGTACTTACATGTATCCACTACCATGGGATAGGGATACATGTAAGTAATCCTATTGTACTTACATGTATCCACTACCATGGGATAGGGATACATGTAAGTAATCCTATTGTACTTACATGTATCCACTACCATGGGATAGGGATACATGTAAGTACAATAGGATTACTTACATGTATCCACTACCATGGGATAGGGATACATGTAAGTAATCCTATTGTACTTACATACTACACCAAAGGAAACCTTTTAACTTTCCTTAAAGACAAATGTCATGTAGTTCACACAATAGTCATGCGTCATTCTGTTAACCCTTCCTCACTCCATACTACTAAGTTAATCCCATTGCTATACCCTCATGTCCCATAATGTCGCACTGACGCCACTGTCCCATACTGTCCAACATTGACGCCACTGTCCCATACTGTCCAACACTGACGCCACTGTCCCATACTGTCCAACACTGACGCCACTGTCCCATACTGTCCAACACTGACGCCACTGTACCATACTGTCCAACACTGACGCCACTGTCCCATATACACTAGTCCTAAACCTAACTCTACCACTTTCATTGACCTATTGTCCCTATTTACGAACACTGCTACCACGATGTTCTCTAACCCTAACTTTGACCCGAACACCCATACACTATTAGCCAGACCCCCGAGGTTAAAGGTCAACCCATCATCTAGAGCATTAAGGATCCAACAGACAGAGGATACAGCTGGAGACAGGGACAAAATGGCGCTCGCTTGCTGATGCCTCCTGCTCCACTGGGCGTTGATGACGATGCATCATCCGCTAATGTAAAATACGTGTTGACCTATTGACTACCACGTGACACACACCAGCTCACATTCTGCATACAACATACAACAATGAGCACGATCAATGGTTCTCAATTTATTTCAAGAGTTCGACACGTTCTGATAACATTCAGCCATTATTGATTGATTTTAGATGTATTATTGAAGAATGACAAATCACAGACAGGTGAAAGCGGTAGAAGTTATTAAAGTTCCCACTTCGAACCTGACGGTCCATGGGACAAGTGAACTACAGCTCACCGATTTCTGTGACCTCGGCATATGAAGGGGCGGTGTGGTCGGCATTATGTCCAGCCGCCTTTATTTTCCCAAACGTGAGTTAGGTACTCATAAGAGCTGGAATGACTCAG